TTATAAACAAATGAAAACCGAAACTGCGCCGCCCTATGCTAATGTTGCAATGAACTGTGTCGTATTTAACGTACGCGCTGTCAGTAACTTCATCTCGCCTACTTAGATATGTGTTTTGGTTCGACTGAGGTTTGGATCGTGTATTTCCTGTGTTTTCTTGGATAGAAAAACCGAATTCTTAAATATTATTTGGACGAATTTTGTTCTTTAAAGGGGTGAAATTATATTAGCCTTAGGATATGTAAGAGGAGAAGGACGCGTCGAATCATATTGAAACATTTGGTCTCTCACAATCAACATCTAACTTCATTGCAGTTTAAGACGGTAAGTTGAGAGGCTTTAGGAGGCCAGAAAAGTGTCTTACCCAGTTTTCTATCTGACTAGTGGATAGTATGTGATTTTTATTCAAAATCGAAAGACGTATTTTACAATTTTATAGGAAATCACAGATTAATGACTGTTATCAATCAATATGTGAATTATTCAGTTCAGTTTCTTACAAGGAAAGCAAAGCATTTCTTTCGATTCTTGTAGTCTGGTAAGTTTGCCGACGTTTCAGAGATGCTTGTTGCCCTATCATCGCCCTGACTGCCAGACTACACTGCATAACAACCCAAAAGACAGCCTTCTACATACTCGCTGCCTTGAAAACCTCAGATCTTACTTGTAGGTATCTTTTTTTACAGGGCGGTAACTATGTCTTGACACTTATGGATGTGTATGGAGGTGGAATTGCAGTACTCTTCATTGCCATTGCAGAATGCATCAGCTTGCTATGGATATATGGTGAGACATTGTGGTTAGGATGTGAAGACTGTGGCTGTTATGTGTCGTGCTTTGGTGTTTTTATACCATGGATTGAAACTGAAGACAAAATATTTCAACCCAGCCGTCGTTTAGAAATATACGTAATGGTGCGTTTACCTGATACGAAGGCGACAAGCCATCACAGTTTTGTGCTTTTAAATTTCTTGCCTTAATAACTAATGAACAGTTGGAACTAAGCGTTTTAATTTCTTCTCGGAACTTCCTTTCAGTATTGTAACATCCTATGTAAAACGCCTAGTTAAGCCAATTCATTTGTTTCCTTTTTAAAAATTTGTTTCTTAAAAGTTTGCAGTCGGTTGTAGAGTATTTGGCATTAAAGCACAGATTATATAATTTATTTGTATGCCTGAGTGCTGATGAACTTTCTGATTTGTACGACTGGCGACCGCGTATTGTCCAACGAGTATTATAAAATCTTAAGAGTATGTAAGTGGAGTACAGAGCCCATCAAAACAAAATACGAAGTGAATCCACCTGGCATCGAACTGGCCTTGCAGATAATGGTTTGCTTTTCAGGCTTGCGGAACGTTTGTGACGACGTGCAGTTTATGCTTGGGAAGAAGCCAAATGTCTACTGGAGGATTACATGGTCTTTCTTCGCCCCAGTTATTCTTTCGGTAAATATTTTGATTCATTATGAGCCTGTTTATCGACTCTATTCCAAACGCAGAATTTATATACTGTTAAGATGAGATGCAAGGTCATGTCTATATCTCTTTTCAGGTAATATTCATCATGTCTCTGGTAAAGTTCAAGCCTCTGGGTGACGATTCATACGACTACCCCGACTGGGCTGATGCTGTCGGTTTTTGTCTAGGATGCCTTTCCATAGCGCAGATACCAATTTGCGCTATTTTCAGCATTTTTCAACAGAAAGGTTCATCACTGAAAAATGTGAGCATTTACATCGCCGTGTTAGACGCCAAAACGCGACGAAACCTCCAAATGTTGCGAAATCGAAATCCCTCAGAACAAAAAAGTTTTTAAGTGTTTCTAAACCGTCTGTAAAGTATTTACATACTTCAACTCTAAAATGTTTTTAGCATTGATAAAATTCAGTACAGAGCTCTCTGTGCATTGTACATAAAATTTACTATAGAATGCAGTTCAGTATGTGTTCCTTAGAATTTTTTTATGAAATTCGGTATGAAAACCCATATTTTTATGTCGATAAAATTAAGGAACGTATTTAATGATCAGACCTGTACATTCTTTGACTAATTTCAGAATGTGGATAGTAAAAGCGATTTTAAAGACATCTTAATCTTAAGAGATTAACGATCAAAAAGATTAAGGTAATGTACGTAGTACCACAACGAGCCATGCTTATCTATTTTTCGTATCATGAGCCCCTCTGGAAACGGACCAAAATTGTGAGATTCTCTGCTGTCTGCTTCACAGAAATTTCTACTTTCTACCAAACCGACACAGGATTGGGGACCTTCAGATCTTGATCTACGAGAATCCTGGTTGGAGTTCAAACGGAAGTCTCACCCCACTCTACTGCTCAACTCGATAGGTGAGCAACCAACAGTTTACATCGATTTAAATACGTAAGTTCTTAAATATGGGGCATTCACCGGACGACCAGTGATCGATTATCGACAGGGGCATGGCTATCTTAAAAGTCCACGAACGTCATTTGCATCAGGACTCAACGAGTAATAGATGCGCTTTTAGAAATTGTTTTGTTTTGTCCGTGAAGCAGAACACGTCAATTCGACAACACACACAGTGGCTGTTCCGGATGAGGAGACGTTCCGTTGTCGAGGTAACAGTCACGGGTCTCGCACGTGAAACACGACGCCGAAACTTTGAGCGAGCAGAAGACAACGCAACGAGCAATTTGACTGCTTCTCGGACAACATGGATGGATTGCGCCGCTGACTTTCGGCCTATGTCCTGATTTACGCGTTTCTGTATGTATGCTGTTTTCATACTCAATAAGACGGACTATTTAGGCACCGCGACCCCAGGTCAGATTCGTTTCTTCAAGAAGGTCTACACAGGAAACCACATAATTATAAGAGTTTACATCTCTAAACTCTCTCATTGCAGTTTCTGATCAAGAATCAGAAGGATCCTTTATCCCACCGCCTCCTACAGTTACATAACCCTGCCCTCCCTAACTTAGGTTAGTATTGTTTAGAATAACTGTTACTGAGGACCAATATCACGAAAACTTAATAGCCATTTGTTTTTAACATCGGCCCACGTATCTCAGTCAGTAAAGTAACGAGCTACGAGCTGGATGACTGGGATTTGATTCCCGTTAGGGACAGGAATTTTTCGATTGGTCATCGCGTCGAGCTGTGGGGTCAGTCTAACCTTCTTTCCAATGGGTATTGGAAATAAAGCAGCTGGAATATGACGCTGACCACTCATATCTAGAGCCGAGGCCAAGAATTTCTGTAGCTTTACCGGTATTCTCCCATGCGTCTTCGCGGCTTGAATATTTTACCTTTTTCAATAACATTTTGATCTTTTGTAAATAGTTTTTATTTTTATTTTTCCTTTAATGTAATCAGGCCTTCCGACGTAATCCCTGGTTTTTCTTGACATGTTTGCAGTTGTATCGTTGAAGGAAACGTCGTCCCTTAAACTCGGTGCTAGAAATGGATTTATGTTCCTAAGCAATTATTATCCGGTCCTAAACTTCGAGATCCTGTTCAATTTTGACATTTTTGAAAAGCGGATTGAAAAGCGCACATAAAAATACAGTGGGAATTTTGGAATACGTATATAGGATGTCGTGTTATTACTGCCATAATGCACAAAAGGTCCTAGCAAATTTTGCGTTTGGCGTGTTGACAGTTCTCACATTATGGAGTTCTGTCTCACTCCGCCAGTCCATCGGTTAAGGATGACACCAAAGACAAGTGGAACAATAAACCGCCTACTATTATCGTTCCCACGTAGTCAGAAACTCGAGGTATCAAAGGTTGTTGAAATTGGATAGGTATTACCAACTTTAAAACTACCGTTTGTTTCATCTCCCAGAAAAAGATTTTCTGCCGGAATAATCCCGGAGAAACTGACGAAATATACGAAGAAATCGCTTGGGATAGCTGATAACCCGGTCGAGATTCGAATCGGGTACTTCCCGAATTCATTTATAGAGTAAGTGTTCAAATATTTTGACCATCCGATAAAAACTTCAATGAAAGATGGTTAAAATAGCAGGAGACTGACTTTACGGACAGGGGACCGAGAAAATCGTCCCTCTGTATGACAAGTGGAGATTAGACAATGTACAGAAGAGTTTACGAGTAATGAATACAGTGACTTGTACTAGCCAAAGTGGAGAATCAGTGAGCCGCTTCAAGGTACCAGCATTGCAAACTCGTATTCTGTCGTATTATTTCATGACGAGTTCCTGTCTGAATCGTTGGGGATTTTTTGTTTTACCATTATACTTTTATGAAACATCGTGACAGCCAGTTGACACGTGGAAGCTGCTGGCTCTTGAAACGATCAGGAACTGGAATTAGTGCCGAAATTGAAAATTGGTGGAGCTTGACTACAGAACAGTTCTTATGCGGAATCGAACATCTCCGTTATCACAAAGCAGAACGTATACAAACATCCACAAAAAATGAGTTTTAAGTTGTTCCATTCTGAGAGAATTTATTACAATGTTCACTCGTAACGCGTAGAGAGCGTACATAGACGGTTGTACAGCTGTGCAGGAAGAAGTGAACAGAAGTGCTGGCATTTCAAATGGAAGAAATGTTAACGCTTGAAGACAGTAGAACAGACCAGGTCTCAGCTAGAGGTTATCTAGTTTCTAGATAGATTTATAAATCTATAGGATGTGGCGTGTTTTTGTCTCAGGGAAGAATATTTACAGAACAGTCAAAAATGTTTTATAATTCTTTTTCCTGAAAGTAATATAAAATTATTAATTAAGTAGGATAATATAAAATGTGTAGGTAGTTTTATTGAAGAAAATTCTTACAAGGGATGTACATTAACTTATATGAGGACGGTGGGAATCTGAACTACAGAAGTACATAAATAAGCACCCTAGGTCAGCGATGGGTAATGGTTATTGGTTATACGATATGACACGGGAACCTCTAGCGCGATTGCTTATTAAAACCAAGTTATCATGAAACTACTTTAGGTAAAGCCCGAGACTACGCCATGAATTAAATATTATTGAGAAAGAGAATATGATACTAACGACTAATAAAAATGCTGACCTGCACAAAAGATACAAAAAGTTTGTGTTGCAGAAACCGTACTGGATGATATAATATGATAGTAGCTTTGATCGTTTGTGACTGTAATGTGAGTGTGGTCGCCCCCAGAGCTGCTAAGGTAGAAAACATGGTAGTCAGTTTAGTTGGTTTTCATGCAGACAAATTCTGACAGAACGTTGGAGTGCGTCTTGGGACTGACAGGTCTTATATAACGTGACAATGTATGTATTCAAGCCTACAGATGGAGGCAGCGTGTTCTTTCAGGCATTGGGAAATAACCAGATTAAACTGCGCAACATATCACATTATTATGGAAACTTAATATCCTTCAGAACGACCACATCCATGAGGTTGACCTGGCAACGAAACGGGACACAAAAATCTCTAGAAAGATAAATCTTGTCTCCATCCGCAAATCTTAATTTGATTTTTTTTAAAGAACAGTGCATTCGATATTTCGTACACAGATCTTGTCCAGAATAACAATGGAAGAATCTTTGGCATGTATGTTTATTTATACAATCATAAATTCATTACCCTTGTGTTTCATTAAATATTAACCATTTCGAAAAATGAAATTTCACTGAGAACTAGCCGGTGTTTTCTGTTGCCATACAATCGTTTGTGTGATAGACAGTTTTTAGACAGATTTAATAGAGCTTTAATTTGGGTGTCAACGCAAATGAAGTCCCATTTAATTCTAATGTTTTCACATTTTCGACACAACCGACACTCTAGTCAAATTTTAGAAACACGTAAAGTAATTGATTTAATATTCATTGCGTATTTTTTGAGGAATGAATTCATATCCTCCCTCCATCAGGTTCTCTGGTTGCGCCCATGTTTCTACCTTCACAGATTCAGGTTGCGTCAGAGTGGGCTCTTAGTTACATGTGCTGGAGACACTCTTATACCACAAGTAAATTCAACGTAAGTTGTTTGTATAATATATTTTATTTGTATATTAGATTACATATGTATTTATGATATCGTATATATATATATATAGACAGTAAAATACATTTGTCATAAGTGTTTTAAATAAGAAGTTTGGTATCAAATATACACACAGCAAGTCGATCCAAAAAGCAGAAATGAGCTCAATAAAATATTTGTTCATAAGGTAATTTATTTTGAAAGATATGAATTATAAAAATGTAAAATTATGCAAATGGAGAATTGAATTTTACTTTAGTTATGCCTTGAATGTGCCAAAAGAAATCTTTAAGAATCACCCATCACATTTAGGTGGTACTGTTTTTAGATCGCGTGGCTAACCTGGCCGATAGAATATTATTGACTGTAATATTACAGTGTCCCAGAAGTGCTTGAGGTCGTTATTGTGAAAGTCATTTTTAAGTAGGTACGCATTTCGACATAATTGTTGCAATGTTACTAGGTGCTGTATGCAGATTATTCTCGGTAATGTTAGCATGTTTGCGAGTGTTTCGTGGTATATAGAGGGAACTGTATCGGAGTTTGACTGTATACGTGTTTAAATAAAAACCTCTAAGAAACTGGATGACTCCAGATGGTGAAATGTTATGGTGTAAGTCGTAATAATCGTCGATTTATTCTTATTGAATGTGTAATAGAGATAATTAACGGGTCTGTATGTATGCTCTCTAAAGTGTATGTACTGGATGAGACTACTTAGTAACGACTTAAGGAAAAAATATATAATGTACCTGTCCGATTATCAAAAATGTTGACCTCAGTTTCTTTTGGGACATTTGCATAAAGTGTTCAATATATGTTTACCACATATTATTGTGCCTAATACCTTTTTGAATGTTTGCCACAGAAACTCCAGATACTTTCATAGCAAAAGCTCGAGTACTCAGACAAAAATTTTGATAGTGTTTTATGGTTCTTGTGTGGTATGACTGCAAAACAGTACGAGGCTTGTCCTTTTTCAAGACTTAGCAAAGCACAACACACGTATAAATAATATTTAAAAGTTAGGATCTTACCTCAGAGAAAGCACACCACACTTCGGTAACAGAAACGAGTTATTTTTTTGTTGTTCAGGGAAACAATCTTATTTATTCTGAGAACCGAACGAAAGATAAATACATTCTATGGGCGAAATTGTGGAGTTATTGAACGTTAACTCAGGCAGTACGCATAGTGACCAATGTGTTTCAACAAGTAAACAAAATTGAGGTTGGACTGTACGTCTCCATTTATAATACAAGAACTCTTTAATATTCTGTACCATTGAATTCTGGATGTGTCTAGTATTTGGAGTTTCCCCGGTTAAACAATCGTTGGTGAAGGTCCATAAAACGATCAGTAACTATTAATACATTGTACATACCATAGTCTATTTGCTTGTACATAAACAGCAATAAAGGTCATAGCCCCGTTAAAGAATTATACGATTTTCATGTGACAATGTAAATAAAAAAAAGAAACTGTGATATCCTGTCAAATTATTTTGATGCCAGAAGTTGACCATCTTGCCGACTCCATCATCAGGGCGATGAGTTCATCACCCAGACGATGCAGACAGCAAGCACGTCTAAAACGTCGGTAAACTTCTACGAGGCTACACGTCGTGACATCCCAGAAGACAGTCAACTTCACGTTTGCTGTCGTGAGAACCTTAAATCTCACACATTTTAACGCCAGTTCGGAAAGTTAATTCCCATCTCTTTTCAAGAATCGTAAATATCAATATGTGTATAACAATTTTACCTCTTGTTTCGTATGGTTGCGAAAAGTTATCCTTTTAAGGGACGAGCGTAAATAGCAGGTGGTTTAGAACGCGGTGAGGAAAATATTTGGACCTGACAAAGAATTAAGTAACTGGAAATGTAAGATGATAAAATAATTTGTAAAGGTTACCTAATATTTTTAGTCCACTAAAATATATCAGATTAGGCCTACGGTGGACTGGGCAAAACGTTAGGTTGGGGAAAAAATTCATACATTTCATAAATTTTGATAGGGAAAGCCACCACTTGGATGGCAGAAGGTGATGGGAGGATAACATTAAGGCGTTACGTCTTTCTTTGGTTTGGACTTAATCCATCGTCTGTTTCTAAAAAAAACCTTACAGATTTTAAAACCTTAAACGCACTACTTTTAGAAGGATCGATTTTCTTTCGCCTTCAGGCAAAAGGTGGAGACACCTTTTCTGTTGGATCCGGTACACGAGCCTTTGCCGATCTGTGGTCCACAGAATACCAAAGTATACCGGGTCAAACACCCATATCGAATTTTATAAAAATCCGTCCATCGATTCTCGTGTCCAGACATACGGACATAACGTGCATTTTCCTCGCCCATTTTATAGACATCGGATTAAGCACGAACGCATAATAATTAAGTTATATGACTGTTAATTAGTAATTCCTTTTTATGTCTGTATGAGCCGGGATAGCTCAGTCAGTATAGTGACTAGCTACGGGCTGGACGACTGGGGTTCGATCCCCGACGGGGGCAGAGGATTTTTCCTCTAGCCTCTGCGTCCAGACCGGCTCTGGGGCCCACCCAGCCTCCTCTGCAATGGGTACCGGGGTCCTTCCCCGGGGGTAAAGCCGGCCGGGGCGTGATGCTGACCACTCACCCCCATCTAGTGCCGAGGTCAAGGAAGAAAGGAGCTATACCTCCTCTCACCCCAAACGCCTACATGGCGTATAGTGGGACAAACTTTACTTTACTTTACTTTTTATGTCTGTGTGTGGGAAGGCTGTGGAAGGAAATGATACCCCTTTGAGGTGAACGCGTTGGATCCCTTGAAGCCCACGGGTTCTTCGGTTCCAAGAACAGCTTTCTGTGTTATCAATTGGGACCTTTTATCCAGTCCGATGTGTCAGTGTTAAGATAACACGGCAATAAACTGCGCAATGTATGACATTGTATTGGAGCTATCTAGCTGGGAATCTTGTGAATCATGGCAGAGACGCGTCAGATAAAACTATCAGCAATAGAGGGATCTACAGCGAGAGTTATTCAGACTCGTCGCCAGAAAGTTTTCAGTTTTTTGCAGACTGATGGTTCTCTGAGCAATTCAGATGGGAGATAGCGTAAAAACAATTATTTTGCTTTCTCATCAACTCCTGAATCTCCTCCATTGTGCTTATCCGCAGTCTGAAAGGGTCGAACATTCCTTGCGCGAAAAATAACAAAATCTCTAGATCAAATTTTTTGCCCTCATATACAACTTAATACGATGAA